TTCATTGGATACAATATATTACTTGTAATATAAACACAAGACACTAGTATAATATTCACACAAATGTATTTATAACATATATGTAGGAATAAAACATAAATTACTGGTCATTTTGTGATCTTGTCTGTTCTGTTCAGGACAGTGTTACCAGATATTTTGTCTCAAACACAAGCCGTAGGTGTATACTTATTCTTGTGGCCGACTGTACGAGATGTGTAAATGACAATATCTTAGTCACTTTGCAATTGACTTTATCGGGATTATTGAACAAAGTATTACTGTTCCTTACCTGGAATACAAGGGTAAAATAACGTGTTAGATTAGGCAGACTCCTCATTTATCATAATCATTAACCTTACTTTACCTTATCTTTACAGAGTTCAGATCTGAGCGGGTGTTGCCGATCGCCGGTGGAGCGACGGTCCAGCCCAACGGGGTCCATCACCTCCACCCAGAGTCAGTCCCAGCTCACCCCTTCCCGCCAACTGAGTGATGGCGAGAGACTCAAGAAGGTCATCCTCGAACTAGTCGACACCGAGAAGACCTACGTCAAGGTAAGTACTCTACCCCAAGAGGCATTACTAACTAGGCCTTATCATTACTTTGGGTCGGTCTAACAAGGGTGACCAAGAATCACATCTCGACAGCGCTAAAGTTCCCTTGAAAAAAGAATCCTCAAGCGTAAAGAACATCCACCAGTCATGTCAAGCAAGAGGAAAAATTTAGTTGATTAAACAGAGCCAAAATATGGTAGTTGGGAGAGGATTAATGAGAAAACGGACGGGGATATAGGACAACATTGACTCTCCTTCCCCCTCACCCTTGTAAGATTATCCTGGTGGTGGACGGGGAGGAGGTCTGCAGTGTCATCGTACTCAATGAGTTAAAGAACATGGATACTTACCTTGACGCAGAACACTTACCCTTGAGTACGATCACAACCCCCTAAAGATGATGTACTGTTACATTATTACTCTTGGGCCGTAGTGAGGCTGAATTATGGGGATACAGGATGAGATTGTAGTTTGTGGACTGAGATAAAGAAGTGTTGGGTTAGGTTACTTGTGTGGTGATGGGGTGGACTGGTCATGTGGGTTAAAGCAGAATCATCGCTAAGGTTGATCTTTGGTTATGGAAAGTTAGAGTAAATTTGATCGGGTCTTCACTTCCTGTTTTACCTGTACTGTATGTAGACACTAGTGTTTATGGGGGCTTTTGTGTCACACTGTTAGAATTTGATAATGTGAATGAGCCCAGGACACACACAGACACACACACACACCCCGGCTCCAACTCTATTAATAAACCGTTTATTATTATTATTATTATTATTATTATTATTATTATTATTATTATTATTATTACACACTGAAGATTTGCATGGGGATATATTGACAGAATTTGATAATATAATCGAGGTAAAGAGACACACCTCACGAGGGGGAGCCATCCTTCCCTCACCCACCTAATATTTGTGTCTGTGGTTGTTGAGGTAGTGGTTCACTGGTCATCACAATGGCGTCTTTGTTACCGTCTTACTCGGCTGTGATCTTGGCCAGCCGGAGACCGTGAATTCCCTGCGGGTGCTTCGTATACGTCTCTGGGTTCATTCATACACACGCTACTTGTGTTTTGATTGAGAACCGCTTGTGTGTCGCGTAGAATGGCAAGCACATTCTTTTGACACACACACACACATGCGTCCCACAGTATTACAGAATAGAATTGTTTACGTGTGTGAGTTTTATGTAATACCACATACGTAACACTGAAATCCCACTGTAGGAGAAGTAAAACAAAATGAGAGCACTATATTATTTCGACCGTAACCTGAAGAGGACCGTAGGTTTACGGTTTAAATATAGCCTATAGTGATATCGTTTTTTTTTCTGTGGTTTATATTCTCCTCCGGTGGAATTTCAGTGGTGTGTATTATAACATGACCAAGACAACCTAAGAACTACTCTGTCAATATATTTTAGGAACTTTGTACACTAAGGGACGCAGGTTAGGACGAAATTCTATAACGTTGTATTTCGCCATAACCAAAGGCAGGTCGTCAGAGGGACATGAGAAAGTTGTGCTTTTTTCTTTCCTCGTTGCTTAGTGCTGCTGCTAGTGTCGTCTTCACAGCCACCATCAGCGTCTCCAGACAAGACTGCTAGTCTACCCTCGATGCAACACATTCAGCCAGAGAAAACATCCGGGCCCCAGGCAGCCCTGCGTGTTATGGGGGGACCTGTAGATGGAGTCCAGCATAAAACAAAGATGAACGTGGGCTGTAATGATTGTTGTAACTGGTGGACTGGAAGCTGTAGGATTGTGGTTAGGGAGGCTGTCACCCGGGTAGGTAGGTGGTGGCAGGTAGACCGACAGACAGCTGGGGCGAGAACGAGAAGAAAGAAGACGCCCTGGGAATCGCCTGTGGGTAGATTCCTCCAGTCATGAAGGTCTGTCGGAGGTGACATTCTTTACCTCGTGATACAGGAGAGGGTGTGGCCGCCGCTCCCTCCACCAGCCTCACCTTCCACCACATAATAGTCTTTACCTGTTGACAGTTACCTTGACGGACCTTCATGATTGTCAGGTATTAGAACACCTTCGTAGAGGGGGGGGCTAGTTGTGCTCTGTAATGCAGTTGTTAGCTTGAGTTACTACGTGAGGGTGTACTGTATAGTAGCTGCGGGTCGTGTGTGTTGGATAACTTTTTTCTGGAAAATTTTTGTACTTGACTTTTTTTTTTAAACACACAACTCTTTAATTAACATAACCATAATTAGAACTTAATAATAATATTAGTCGACACAGAACTATTTAATTATTTATAGTTAACCTTCACCATCTAGATTAGATTATCTGAAGGTGAAAAAATATAAAAAGTCCTCTTTGAGATTCCAAGGTGAACCATAAATAATGATGCCCAGTTACAAACTGAAATATAACCCCCTTACACCTGACAGGTAGGGGTGGCAGGTAGGCTACGGTAATCATCTTCACCAGCCTCCCATTACCTTATTTGTCGCACGCTGTTACTCCCTCAACTAGTCACTGTGGTGGTGGAGGGGACGGCGGTGGCGGTGGTGGTGGAGGGGGGGACGGCGGTGGTGGTGGAGGGGGGGACGGCGGTGGTGGTGGTATTGATGGTGTGTGATTCTCAGTAAGTTAAATAATACGTTGGATTTAACAAGTCGTGCCTGAGGGATTATTCAGACCGTCTTAGGATTGTTTATCGTGTCCAGGGTGTGTGTGTGTGTGCTTGATCCCTTACAGATACGGTTTGTCACCTATTTTTGCCCGTGTCCTGACAGCTATGACCTTTTCACGCCTTTTCTCCAACACTGACTCGCTTTAGCCACACCTATTAAAAAAGTTTCCCCCCTCACCTCACCGCCGGAGTTGAAGTAATGGTAGTTAGCGGGACTTTAATAACATTGAGCGAGTTGATGCCCTCCTGTGGGATAAAGGCGTCCAGGTACACTCATACACCGCTCTGCCCCAACCCACCCCACCCCTTGCCCCGCCCTTAACCCGCCCACCCACCGCCCCACCCCCCACCCCACCCCACCCCACCCCACCCCACCCACCCACCCACACCCCACCCCGCGACCCTCACCGTAATTGCCGTGGTACTGACGATTTCCTGGATTCAGCCCGGGTCCAGGTTCTCGTAAATTGAATGTAAGAATGCACCTGATTGGCTATTCCTTGTAGCTGTAGATGTAAGAATGCACGTGATTGGCTATTTCCCGTAACTAAAAATGAAAGAAACGTATATATCTTATCGGTTATATACTGTACGAGGCACAGCCAGTCGGGTTCATTATCACATCTTCTGCCACGAGGAATTTTTATCATAGAACTGTGTGAATCTAGAGACAGGAATTTGGGATGAGCTAATGTGACCTGCCTCTCTTACCCCTGTGTAGTGAACCATGTTGTGTGTAGTGAACCATGTTGTGTAGTGAACCATGTTGTGTGTAGTGAACCATGTTGTCTAATGAACCATGTTGTGTGTGTGTAGTGAACCATGTTGTGTGTAGTGAACCATGTTGTGTAGTGAACCATGTTGTGTGTAGTGAACCATGTTGTCTAATGAACCATGTTGTGTGTGTGTAGTGAACCATGTTGTGTGTAGTGAACGACTTATGAATGAAGGTCGGGTGGAGTTAGGTCAGGTGGAGGTTAGGTTAGGTTAGGTTAGGGCATCATGTTTACGGCCGCCGGATAAACTTGGTCAGGTGGGCACTAGGGAAGGATAGGAGGATATACTTGTTTATGAACTAATGTTTGGGAGAATTAAGTGAGGCTTTAAAGAACTACCACTGTCGCTCTTACATGATGCAAAACACAGTGTGGTAATGTGTCCTCAGTTTAAGGTCAGTAACGCTGGCTGTCTGGTTTGATTACTGCGAATGACTTAGTGAAGTGTAAGATGAAACTGGTGCAATCTCTCTCTCTCTCTACTTCTTTCTTCTCTTTGTTTCTTTCTTCTCTTTACTTCTCTCTTCTCGTTACTTCATTCTTCTCTTTGTTTCTTTCATCTCTTCTCTCTCGTCATGGGTAGATCACTAACCTTACCTACAAGGAATGAGTTTATTACCCAGCCTCCAGTCTTGCCCGAGGTCACAGCTCTCTCTCCTGTCTTTACCTCCCCCATCCGAACCAACCCCAGCCTCTCCTCCCCATCCTTGCCACCCCAGCCTCTCCTCCCCATCCTTGCCACCCCAGCCTCTCCTCCCCATCCTAGCCACCCCAGCCTCTCCTCCCCATCCTAGCCACTAGCCTCTCCTCCCCATCACTTGCCACTCCAGCCTCTCCTCCCATCCTTGCCCACTAGGCTCTCCTCCCCATCTAGCCCACCCCAGCCTCTCACTCCCATCTATACCCCATCTCTCCCCTCCCATCCCTAGCCACCCCAACCTCTCCTCCCCATCCTAGCCACCCCAGCCTCTCCCCTCCCCATCCTTACCCCAGCCTCTCCTCCCCATCTATGCCCCCAGCTCTCCTCCCCATCTCCTTGCCACCCCAGCCTCTCTCCCCCATCCTAGCCACCCCAGCCTCTCCTCCCCATCCTTACTCTCCTCCCCATCCTAGCCACCCCAGCCTCTCCTCTCCCCATCCTAGCCACCCAACCTCTCCTCCCCATCCTTGCCACCCCAGCCTCCTCTCCATCCTTACCACCCCAGCCTCTCCTCCCCATCCCTGTACCCAGCCTCTCCTCCCCGTCCTAGCCACCCCAGCCTCTCCTCCCCATCCTTGCCACCCCAGCCTCTCCTCCCCATCCAGGATCATCCGTGACCCGGCAGCCACTACTGACCCCACCACCACCACCTCCTCCTGTTGCAACCAATGCTTCCTTTCACGACACCGTTGCCACGTGTACCTGTTGCTGATCTCTGTACACTGGTGCCACGTGTACCGTCTGCAGCGCACCTAATGTTCACGGTGAAAAGAATAATAACTTTTGACCAATATCAGACATTTTAAAGGTAATTAAATTGTGAAGACTGTGTTATATTCTCGCTGTTCTGTGTTAAGAGTTGAGTTCATTATA